TAGCCTCCGAGGCGGCCAAGACGCCTCCAAGACATCCCTTGGGAAAGCCCGAAGAACCTAAAATGCTAGATGTCCCGTTGGTTTTTGACATATTGTTGTATGTATTTGTTTGTGTGTATATATATATATATTATGTGTGTGTATATATCTACATATATATATATATATACACATACCGGGGGACGAGGGCAGGGGCCCGGGCCCAGCGACCTCGACGGGGCATGAGGGGCCAACGTATCGGAACAGCTCCGAGCCAGCCCCAGACGGGCCCGATATGGGCCAAGAACACCCCAAGAGGCCCCCAAGACAGCCCCAGACAGCCCAAAGACGACTAACGATCGCCCAAAGACGCCCAAGATGGGCCCAAGACAGCCCAAGACGCCACCTAAGACGCCCCAAGACGCTTCCAAGATACCCTCCCAGAGCGCCTCAAGCGGCTGAAATCGTCAATTTTACAAAGGTTTCGGAATGACTTTGGCCTTCCCACTGTTTCGGCTGTCCGACGCTCCAAGACGGCTCAAGAGGCCCCCAAGAGGGCCCCAGGCAGCCCAAGACGGTTCCAAGAGGGCCCCAGGCCAGCCCAAGAGGGTCCCAAGAGGGCCCAAGAGCGGCCCAAGACAGCCCAAGAGAGCCCCAAGACGGCCCCAAGAGGGGAGCTACGAACCGAAAGTTCGCGTCTCCCAGCTCAAGACTGCCCCAGGAGGCCCTAAGAGGGCCCGAGGAGGCCCACAAATGCTCTCAAGAGGCCCCCCAAAAGCCCCAGGAGGCCGCCAAGAGTCCCAAATGAAGCCTCCACACGCCCCAAATCTCGGCTCAAGAGGCTTCTAAACTGCCTCCCCCTGGCTCCCGAGAGGCCTTCCACGAGGTCCCAGCACAGATACAAGAGGCCTCAGACCGCTTCCTTCCCGATCCCTCCCATACATATATATATATATATATATATATATATACATACATACATATATATAATATATATATATATATATATATATGTATATGTATATATATATATATATGTTTGCTTTATATATATATATATACACGCCCCCTGTGCCCCGACCCCCACCACGGGGACATCTCAAGACAATCGCCAGTACCGCCCAAGAGGCCAAGGGCCCAGCATATTCTTTCTCGTCGGGGGCCTCCAGGGGGCTAGGGGAAGAAAGAAGGGTGCTTTCAATAGTGGGAGTCATAGCAGGAATAGGATCACAAGAGGGATACTGTCCGTCCCTGGAGTAAAGGGTCCTCGAATCTGGTATCAGGATCGGCACGTTTGATTATGTTGTTATCTTTTGGGTTCAAAATCTGACGCCTCTGAGGAATTGTGATCCACGCCGCGTACACACTGTCGTCACAGTCTGCCTCTTCCTCAGCACCTGGTTCACAAAAAATGCAGCGACTGATTCACACATACTCTGCAAGTCCCTGACACATCCGTGGCAGGTAGGTCTTTTTGTTGCTGGGTTGAAGGCCCCGTCTTGAGGCTTGCTCGAGAGAGTCTGATGGGTGCCCTTTGGGTGGGAACAACGGCCGTGGAACCTCTGATAGAGCCCAGGGAGTCGGATGCCCAAGAGCCTCGCGGGAGTCTTGCTGATGGTAGTGGGGTCCTGTTCTTGGTGGATGCACTGATCGAGACCACAAGAGCTTGGATGGGGTCCCATTGGAAGCTCGAGGGGGCCCGTGGTTGCCATACTGCTGGTTGTGGATGCTCGGGCTAGCCCGATGTACTAGCAGTAATATGGCAGCCGAGTAAGTACATCAGTGACCACACGAGCTAATTCCCCATATCAAATTTTAGTGATTGTCGTGGCGTAGCTCAGGGAACCCCTCAGAACCATTCGCGGGTGCGGAACGAGGGGTGCCCTCTCTAAGGAAGAGGGTAGTATCCTGGTTGTTTCGAATCTAAGGAAGAGGGAGGAAGAGGAGGAGGAGGGTGGATCGTTCAAGCGAAAAGACGCTCGTTCGAGCGAAAAGGTAATCCGTTCAAGCGAAAACCAACCGAGCGAAAACCAATCCATAGCAGCAGAGAGCAGCAGAGAGCAGCAGAGAGCAGCAGCAGAGCAGCAGCAGAGCAGCAGAGAGCAGCAGAGAGCAGCAGCAGAACAGCAGAGAACAGCAGAGAGCAGCAGAGAGCAGCAGCAGAGAGCAGCAGAGAGCAGCAGCAGAACAGCAGAGAGCAGCAGAGAGCAGCAGCAGAGAGCAGCAGAGAGCAGCAGCAGAACAGCAGAGAGCAGCAGAGAGCAGCAGCAGAGAGCAGCAGCAGAGAGCAGCAGCAGAGAGCAGCAGCAGAGAGCAGCAGAGAGCAGCAGCAGAGAGCAGCAGAGAGCAGCAGCAGAGAGCAGCAGAGAGCAGCAGCAGAACAGCAGAGAGCAGCAGAGAGCAGCAGAACAGCAGAGAGCAGCAGAGAGCAGCAGAACAGCAGAGAGCAGCAGAACAGCAGAGAGCAGCAGAACAGCAGAGAGCAGCAGAACAGCAGAGAGCAGCAGAGAGCAGCAGAGAGCAGCAGCAGCAGAGAGCAGCAGAACAGCAGAGAGCAGCAGAACAGCAGAGAGCAGCAGAACAGCAGAGAGCAGCAGAACAGCAGAGAGCAGCAGAACAGCAGAGAGCAGCAGAACAGCAGAGAGCAGCAGAACAGCAGAGAGCAGCAGAACAGCAGAGAGCAGCAGAACAGCAGAGAGGAGCAGAACAGCAGAGAGCAGCTGGATCTCTGGCAACTCTGGGCCGCCGTGGGTCCCAGGGGCGCCAGCCAGAGCCGGGAACCATGATTTCAGGCTTTTCCGGCCTGGATCTCTCCAAAATCATGGTTCCCGCCATCCTCGGGGCCGCCGTGGGTCCCAGGGGCGCCAGCCAGAGCCGGGAACCATGATTTCGGGCTTTTCCGGCCTGGATCTCTCCAAAATCATGGTTCCCGCCATCCTCGGGGCCGCCGTGGGTCCCAGGGGCGCCAGCCAGAGCCGGGAACCATGATTTCGGGCTTTTCCGGCCTGGATCTCTCCAAAATCATGGTTCCCGCCATCCTCGGGGCCGCCGTGGGTCCCAGGGGCGCCAGCCAGAGCCGGGAACCATGATTTCGGGCTTTTCCGGCCTGGACCTCTCCAAAATCATGGTTCCCGCCATCCTCGGGGCCGCCGTGGGTCCCAGGGGCGCCAGCCAGAGCTGGGAACCATGATTTCGGGGTTTTTCCGGCCTGGATCTCTCCAAAATCATGGTTCCCGCCATCCTCGGGGCCGCCGTGGGACCCAGGGGCGCCAGCCAGAGCCGGGAACTATGATTTCGGGCTTTTCTGGCCTGGATCTCTCCAAAATCATGGTTCCCGCCATCCTCGGGGCCGCCGTGGGTCTGGGTCCCAGGGGCGCCAGCCAGAGCCGGGAACCATGATTTTGGGTTTTTCCGGCCTGGATCTCTCCAAAATCATGGTTCCCGCCATCCTCGGGGCCGCCGTGGGTCCCAGGCGCGCCAGCCAGAGCCGGGAATCACGATTTCGGGCTTTTCCGGCCTGGATCTCTCCAAAATCATGGTTCCCGTCATCCTCGGGGCCGCCGTGGGCCCCAGGGGCGCCAGCCAGAGCCGGGAACCATGATTTCGGGTTTTTCCGGCCTGGACCTCTCCAAAATCATGGTTCCCGCCATCCTCGGGGCCGCCGTGGGTCCCAGGGGCGCCAGCCAGAGCGGGAACAGGATTTCGAGGTTTTCGGGCGGCTTGGATCTCTCCAAAAATCATGGTTCCCGCACATGCAGGCCATCCTCGGGGCGCCGTGGGCCCAAGGGCGCGCCAGCCAGGCCGGGAATCATGATTCGGGCTTTTCCGGCCCCTGGATCTCTCAAAATCATGGTTGCCCGCCATCCTCGGGCCGCGTGGGTCCCCTTCCCCCCCCCCCTTTTCCTACCCCCCTTCTCTACTGCCCTATTTACCCCCCCAGGGGCGCCAGCCAGAGCTGGGAACCACGATTTCGGGCTTTTCCGGCCTGGATCTCTCCAAAATCATGGTTCCCGCCATCCTCGGGGCCGCCGTGGGGCCCAGGGGCGCCAGCCAGAGCTGGGAACCACGATTTCGGGCTTTTCCGGCCTGGATCTCTCCAAAATCGTGGTTCCCGCCGTCCTCGGGGCCGCCGTGGCTCCCAGGGGCGCCAGCCAGAGCTGGGAACCACGATTTCGGGCTTTTCCGGCCTGGATCTCTCCAAAATCATTGTTCCCGCCATCCTCGGGGCCGCCGTGGGACCCAGGGGCGCCAGCCAGAGCTGGGAACCACGATTTCGGGCTTTTCCGGCCTGGATCTCTCCAAAATCATGTTCCCGCCATCCTCGGGGCCGACGTGGGTTCACGGGGGGACCGCAGGCCGCGTGGGGAACATGATTTAGGGTTTATTAGTTTTTTTCCGGCCTGGATCTCTCTAAAATCGTGGTTCCCGCCATCCTCGGGGCCGCCGTGGCTCCCAGGGGCGCCAGCCAGAGCTGGGAACCACGATTTCGGGTTTTTCCGGCCTGGATCTCTCCAAAATCGTGGTTCCCGCCATCCTCGGGGCCGCCCGTGAGCCAAGGCGCCCAGCCAGAGCCTGCGAACCATGATTTCGGGGCTTTTTCCGGGCTTCTTGGATCTCTCCAAAATCTTGGTTTCCGCCATCCTCGGGGCCGCCGTGGGTCCCAGGGGCGCCAGCCAGAGCTGGGAACCACGATTTCGCGCTTTTCCGGCCTGGATCTCTCCAAAATCGTGGTTCCCGCCATCCTCGGGGTCGCCGTGGGTCCCAGGGGCGCCAGCCAGAGCTGGGAACTACGATTTCGGGCTTTTCCCGGCTTGGATCTCTCCAAAATCATGGTTCCCGCCATCCTCGGGGCCGCCGTGGGCCCCAGGGGCGCCAGCCAGAGCCGGGAACCATGATTTCGGGCTTTTCCGGCTTGGATCTCTCCAAAATCATGGTTCCCGCTATCCTCTGGGCCGCCGTGGGTCAGGGGCGCCAGCCAGAGCCGGGAACTATGATTTCGGGTTTTTCCGGCGTGGATCTCT